GCCATTTCCGTTTCCTGTCCCACGCCTCCCGCCCCTTTTCACGTTTGTCTGGTCGTGTGCGTGCGTAAATCATAATGGCCAATGCTTTTTCGCTCACAATTTCTTCCGCCTTCAAAAGGGGGCCTGAAAGTTTTTCGGGCCCCCAGACACGCCCCGTGCCAAGATTTGTATTATTTAATCAGCGCTTCAGTGTTGTTTAATTAATTGACGAGCATTCTGACAGTTAGTTTGCTTTTTGCGGCTTCGATGGGCCAGGGATTTAATGAAGTGCCTGACCAAGACTGAGACCCATGACCCCCTTGACCCTTATTTACTTATACTCACTTCCTCAGCGTGGCCACAAAGCTGTAGATATAGACCAGAACGGCGGTGAGGAAATAGGCTAAGGGCAGCTTATAACCGGACGTGCTGATGCCGGATGTGCTTGAATAGTAGCTGGGGAAAGAAAACAAGAGGAAGGATGATATGAGCATATTGCCAGCAATTAATAGAGTTCTCTTTTCCCGAACCAAGAAATACAATCAAATAATTCTACACTTATAAAAAAAATTATGTTCAAAGATCTAATACTCTATTTAAGTATTGAAATGGACGAACATTTCAATTTAAATTAGTGGTCCAATTTAAACATTGTTAGTTAAATGAAATTATTGTTTTATTGGCATAATAAGGCACGTGTTCATGAACGCATGATGAGTAAAATTAAGGACTTAAACCTAGTAAACATATGATATTTAAATGCCATAAACGAAATTAAATTTCAAACGGCCTTAAGCGTATTAAATTCTTAAAGTAAGTATTTATCTAATATTATAGGTTGGTTCAAATATTTTAATATTAAATTATGCCATTTAAATATGAAATTTGTATATATAATAATAATTATAATTAATAATAATAATTATCTATAAATTTAAATATAATATCTACAGAGGTCAGCTTACCCATAAAACATGGGTGAGTACTTCAGGTACCCCTCGAACTCCCAGAAGGTGAAGAGATTGCCGGCCACTCGGGCCTCCGGGTCGGACATCCTTTTCCTGGGATCCGTTTCGCCGTGTTTCGTGGCAAAGTACTGGATGGTAAAGCCGATTCGATTCGATTCAAGTAAGCGGAAACATAAATGCGTGTAAAACGAATTGGCTACTCATAAGGACACTCACCTCGGGTCCGATGACAAAGGCGACCAGCGGAATGGCAATCATGATGTTGACCCACATAAGCCAGCGCAGGAATGTAAAGTAGGAGGCCACGCCGGATCCAAAGTGGGATTCGATTTCCTTGATGCGCAGCTCCCAGGGGATGAGGACGGTGAGGAAGCTGGTGGTCTCCCGTTTCCAGTGTCGCCATCGCTGGGAAGAGAAAAAAAGGATTTATGTCTCCGAGGAATTGCCGCCTGCAAGTACGTATTTTAATTGGTTTTCCCCAGACAAACCAGCACCCAAGCGAACTCACATAACTCTGTGAACTATGCGAGTGCGGATTTATTGAATGTCCGTCCCGGCCGGAAAGTGGGCCATAAATTGTGCAAACATAAATATTTCTTTTGCATGGCTTTGCCTTGGGCTTGTTGCACTCCACTTTTCGCATTCTGCAGGCGTTTCCGGCTGAGAGGGGGGATTGGAAAGGGGTTGCAAATCACTTACTGCCGCCATTAAAATTTTAAACCTCGCCCACAAGTCCCTGGTGCTGCGTGACATGGCGAATCGCTCCTGAAGCGCGCCCTCGTGGCGTGCCACATATGTTTTGGCCTGTCAACACATCCAAAAGGGCCGCAAGATCCGCCAAAGTCCAAACATCATTAAAAATGCCAGGGTGTAGCGATAGATGGGAGATAAGGAGTAGTGGTGTGAATGAAATCGAAAAGTTTTTGGGATGGATAGTCGGGGGGAGTAGGTCGTAACATTCTCAACGACCTGACAAGCGGCGTGAAAATGAACGCGCCCAGTTTTGGGCCCAACTCCACCCCCCGATTCCACGCCCCTCTTAAGGAGATGGCTTTATAGAGCCATCCCAACCCAACCCACCTGCCGAACCAACTTGAGCTTCTTGCGGATGGGCCATGGTTGTAGCTTCACCGACTGTATGACCTCCTTGTGCAGGCGGATGTTCTCAAAGATTTGCTCTTGCGTGGACTCCTGATTGGTGCCCTCCTCTGGAAAAAGGCACACAGATTACACATACGACCAGTATGCCGCCACGCCATCAAAACGGTCCGCACGTAGCATGAAAAATTACGAAAAACAGGCCCCCAGACGTTGATTAGCTGCCTCTGGAGGACCGAAAACCAGGACCCGCCCCCATCTCGTCTGCTCGTTAACTAAGCGAAATCTGTTCTGGACACTTATGGAGCCACCTCCGCCACACACACACAACACACACTTGCCTGAACTTGTCGTATAGACACTGGAGCGCCGCCGCTCCACACTATCCAGCACGTGATCCATGGGACTGGATGCCCGTCGCGAACTCCGGCTGCCACGTTTGCCCCTATAGCCCCGCACACTGGCACGTCTCTGCATTATTGCCGATACGGAAATTGTGTAGCTCTCCTCATCGTCGATGTCGCCTCCGCCGCCGCCATCCTCGAATCCGACTCCGATTCCGGGTCCGACTCCTACTCCCGGCGGATGCTGGCCAAAGTGGGGCTCCTGGTGGCAGCTCTCGGCGTCGCTGCTTTGATTTTGCAATGGGAAGTCTGTAGGAGGTTAGAACAGGTCATGAGGTTCTTCTATATACACAGCAATTTAAAAAATTATATTATAATCAAAGAAAATTGTATTCTGGCTGTTAAAAATCATGGACTTTATATAAAAAGCGTTTGATCTGAAACCATATTTGTATATGAGGGCCCTTCTTCTCTTAAATAATATTTTTGATTAAAAGTCTTTAGATTTTATTTCACAAGTAACAACTTTTATATTAGAAAAAACATGTTTCAAAATATAATATTAACCTTATATACCTATTTATTAAATGGGTAAATATTAACCTATTTATTAAATGGGTAAATATTTCAAAAAATTACCTACTTCTAACATTTCTGATTAATGTTACCGAGTTTAAATGATTCCCTATTTTGAATAATTTTTTAATAGTTTTAAAAAATTAAAGTGTAAAAAAATTAAATGGGTAAATATTTCAAAAAAATACCTACTTCTAACATTTCAGATTAATGTTATCGAGTTTAAATGATTCCCTATTTTGAATAATTTTTTAATAGTTTTAAAAAATTAATGAGTAAAAAAGGGATAAAATGTTCTTCCTTACAAACCCATTTATAAAGAAGATTTGGAAGACATTACTTCAACGAGTATTAAATATGATAATATTTTAATCGATGTAAGCTATAATTTCTGATTTAACTAATTTTTAAATATTTTTTTGTAATATATGAATCATTTTATAAAACTGAGGATAAACTATGTATAAGTGTTTAAAAATGACTTTCATAAAGTAATTTTAAGAGTGTTCAGACATACCGTTCAGTTCGTAGGACCTGTGCTCCTCCTGTGATGCAGTTCTTTAATAGGGGTTTAAAGAGAAATCATGTTCCATGGTCTTTAATTATCCTCTAGGCCGTGGCACTCACCTCCTGCCCCTTTGTCCTTTGTAGAATTCCCTCTTGGCATCGGCGCTGCTCTGCATTTGCCAGCCACCTCTATTCAAGTCGCATGGCGGTGCCCAGGTCACAGATAGTTGATGGGGCGAAGTTACTCCCGAGTTGTTCTACGAATTGATGGTGAAGGCTTTACTACCACATATATTTTCAAGTGCTGTTCCGGGACAGCTAATTACTCAAATCACACTGGCACCCCAAGCGTGTAACCTTCACTCCTAATTGCTTATTTATTAATTTCACTGGTGAGTAGACGTCTGTTTAAGGGTAACTCTTGGTTTCACAAAGAAAATCCTTTTTTAGTGGTTAAGTCCTGATTTGGCTAGTTAGCCGCTGAAGCGCTTTGGAGCAGCCTTGTGCGCAGACTGAACGGCTTAACGCGTTGGCCAGGCCAGCAAGGCGCAAAAAGACCATCCTCCAAAAGGACAGCGACCAACACCAACACGCCCAAGGACCTCACACAGACAGGTGGAACGTTAAATTTCTCTAATAATGAATGAATATGAATGGAGAACGGACACAGAGAACGGAGGAGCAGCCAACTTATCAAAGCCAAAACGTGCCCAAAACCCACACACACACTCAATGTGGCGCCAAGGAATTTACATGGACATGGGGGCCAGGACCTTCGGAGGGGGGATTGGGACAGGACCTGACTTCCTCGCCCAGTTGAAACGAAGACGAATGAGTGTAAAAATCGCCAGCGGCATGTGATAACAACGCCGTATCCGGGCGTAACCAGCCAGGACTTCGAATGTCCATTTAGATGGCATCGTGGGCGAGTGAGTGTGTATATACATACATGTATCCCTTGATATTGAGTCACCTTGTATTCTTGGCCCGGCCATGTAAATGAAAATCAAACATGCAAGGGTTGATAAAAGAAAATCGCGAAATTCCTGGGTTTTACCCGGTTATCCTCTTTGCCTTTTTTTCTGTTGTCAGGGGAGTGCCCACTATTGAAATATATATGTTTTTTACGCGCTCCTCTGTGTTTTGGGTTTCGCTTTCTCTGATTTCACTTTCATTCCTATTTCTTTTTTTTAATTAAATGAAGTTCTCGGCCGGCTTTAATTAACAACAAATTTATCTCGACGCCCAACGCGCGCACGTGTAACGATATTTTTCGGCAATTATGGGTTCATTACCCGCTGTGCCAGTGGCCTAGGCCTACAAATTCAAATGAGAAATTTGAGCTTTCCAGGTTCAGGTTTTGCAAACTTGAAGCCAAAGTTCAATGCCGCTTTATGATGACCTAGTAAAGAAGCCACTAAAAAACCCACGCCTTTGTTTAGGCCTAAGTGAGTTTCCATGTTCGACTGCAGTTTTCCCGATTTCGCCATAAATCTTGGGCCCTAACTTGGCCAAACCCAAATGTGGGTCAACTTGTACACAATATATTTTAATTTGAAGCCACATAGAAAGTAGAACCGAAAATATAACGAAAATTGAAAGATCCTCAGTTGATGCGGCACACGCTGCTCTCACTCCTGGATCGCCTCCATTTGCTGCGGAACTCCCGATGACGCAACCTCATGGCCTGAACCTCCGAGGAGGTGGAGTCCGTGGTGCTGGCCAGGTGGAGACGCTCGGAACCGAAGCTATCCAAGCTGCTAGAGCGTTGGCAGATGTGCAACTTGGGCATGTAGTGCTTCCGACTGCAACCGGCATTCTCCTGGTTATTCCGAATGATCTCCCTGGCAAAACGGGCCATCATCTTCTGTTTATGATGACGGTTCCACAGAGGTCCATGGGCACAGTTTTCCCGTATCCAACGACGTGCCTCACGACATCCCACATATAAACTCTGATGGCTATAAGTCTTTGTATCTAACATAAAACCACGATTGCCCAGCAGACCGAAACCAAGGTCGAAAACATTACGTGACAAGACCGGGGGATCGGGTCCATCTTTGGTCTTGAACTTATTTGGCCCTACAGGTTCCATGGGGCCCTTGGTCTCCTGGTAGAAGCGACGATCCTCAGCAGTGCAATACGACCAGGATTCGAAACTCATCGAGCCACTATCCTTTATCTCAAAGTCCACGGGCAGCGAGTCATTAAACTTCATTTGATCGATCGCTATCAGTTTGCCATGTCTATGGGTCACTTGGTAGGTAACGCCCGAGGGATCTGGCACCTGAATGGAACCCCTTCCATGGAAACGATTGTTTAGGAACTCTCCTGTGTACCTGCTGCCATCCGGAAAAATGTAGACACCGAAGTTCTGCATGCCCAAATCATCGCTGGTTCCAATATACTGGGATCCAGTCATTAGGATGTCCACTTGCGTGATGGTCGAGGCTTTCGTTGTCCTCTGATACGACTCCATTTTCACTTTAACAACTTGGGTATTTTGACTACCGAAAATAAATGTACGAAAATAGTGTTGACCTTCAAGGCTTGGGAAAGTTGAGTGATTATTCAACGAAATATAGTTCGGAATATGTTATAAAATGTCTTTTATCTCTGGTAATTTACACAAGTACCTTCCTCAACTTACAAGATAAGCTAAAAAGTCACGCTAATGCCCCACTAAAATTTGCCTAATTACCCAGGCGAGGGTTTTACTATATAAATAACCTAGAAAATCTATAGAGTAACAAACTTTTTCTGGAGTCATGAAGCTGTTAGCTCTTCTATTCTTGGTTTTGGCTATTGCCGTTGCAGAAGCTAAAAAAGATAAGAAGAAACTCGAAGATCCTGATCACATAATCACCAATGGAAGCCCCGCCTATGAGGGACAGGCGCCCTATGTGGTGGGCATGGCCTTTGGCCAGAGCAACCTGTGGTGCAGTGGCACCATTATTGGCGACACCTGGATCCTCACATCCGCCCAGTGTTTATCGGGCAGTTCCGGGGTGACCATCTACTTTGGAGCTACGCGACTAAGTCAGGCTCAATACGCATTGACAGTGGGCACTAGTGAATATGTTACTGGAAGTCAGCATCTCGCCCTGGTAAGGATTCCCAGGATTGGCTTCACCAGCCGGGTCAACAAGGTGGCTCTTCCATCGTTGGGTGCCAGATCCCAACGTTACGAAAACTGGTGGGGCAATGTCTGTGGATGGGGAGTTACTACCTTTAATAATGGCTTGACCGATGCGCTGCAGTGCGTCGACCTCCAAATAATGCCCAACTCCGAGTGCGTCTCCTATTACGGATCCACCACGGTCTCCGATCAGATCCTCTGCACCCGTACTCCCAACGGCAGATCCACCTGCTTCGGCGATGCCGGTAGTCCGCTGGTCACCAAACAGGGATCCACCTTGGTGGGCATTTCCGCCTTCGTGGCCTCCAATGGTTGCACCTTGGGATTGCCTGCTGGCTTCGCCAGGGTCACCAGCGCATTGGACTGGATCCGTCAGAGGACTGGCATTGCCTACTAAAAGGGTCAAAATAAAATAAATATGCCCTATACCTGCACAGAAATTTTCTGATTGTATTCTTAGATCTATCTGATTCAGGTTTCTAGGCCACAAACTTGTATAAAAACGTATTAGTAAACGTATTGTAAATGGGACCAACGGATAATTAATATTTTTCGGCTAAAATTGAAGGATAGGAATAATGTTTTTATAAAATTTACAGAAGTCACCATTCATGGGACATTTTTTTAAATTCGTGAATTTATTATTGGTGTCCCAGGACAATTAAATGCATTCATTTTGATATATCTTTTTCTGGAAAGGGTCAAAAATAAACTACTTTTTATACAGGAAATAGGTATAGAATTTATCCAAACTCGTCTGTATTATCGCACTTGAGGCACTGAAAAAACGAATTGTTCATAACATACAACATGAATTAATTTATTCCTCCCTACAGCACGGAGTTAACTTAAATTTTAAACTGAAAAAGACATATAAACAGATACGATCTACAAGATCTACAACTCAAAAATGGAACGCGTCATGTCGAGGTAGCTATTGTGGCGTATGAGATTGGACTGCACCACGTTGATGTTGTCCGCCACCCGCTTCTGCATCATGGTGTTGACGGATCGGTAGGTCTCCATGACGTCCAGGGGCAGTGAGTGCTCCCCGAAGCTATCCGACTGGCAGCTGGAGGCACCACCTGACTCCGGATTGCGCACATCCGAGGTGCTCGTCCATTGGCGGGGTCTGTCCACCTTCTCCATCTTGGCGCAAGGATGCAGTTTGCGGTACTCCTCGTGATCCTGCTGCCGCTTGTCCAGCATCCTGCCATAGGCACGCACACACATCTCCGTCTCCCAGGCGGGATCATTGGCTGGCATGGAGCGCCTTCGAGCCATTTGCAGGGGCTTCTCCTTGGTATGACCCCGCTTCTTGGTCAGTTTGTGGTAGTACCGCTCCCGATGGACTTCTCCATTAGGAGCATATATGGCAGTCTTTCGTATTTGGCTCCTCTCCGTGGCCAAATTGTTGGCTATGATGCGGCGGCAGAAGTCCGAAGGTGGCTCAATCACACGGGAGGTTCTAGCCTTCCTGCAGTGTCGCTTGATGAAATCCTTATCCTGCTGACAGCCCACGTACATCCGGCTGTGCAGGGGAGCCGGTCGGTCCGTCATCCAGCAGGTCTTACTGTTGAACAGACCCTCCTCCACATCGTAGCAGTGCTGCGGGACCTCCCTGGGCAGCATTTTGGCCGTGATGAAGGCAGTGGGTCCCACCGGCTGTTGGCCATAACGCCGCTCGGCATGGTAACGTCGATCTGCGGGCGTTAAATAGTCCCAATTGTCGCATTCGAGCTTCATGTCACGGAATCTTCCCTCGACATGGAGGCCATCGGAGAACCACATATCCTCCACCGTGACCAAGCGGCCATGCTCGAATTCACCTTTGACCGTAAAACGGTATGGCTGGGCCAGTCGCAGATGTCCGAAGCCATGGAACTGCCCCTGATGGAACCTGCCGCGGTACTCGCTACCATCCGGATAGCGATAGCTACCAAATCCGTCCATGACATTGACCAGCCTGTCCCAGGCGCCCTCATAGCTGCTCCGCGTGACGAAGTGCCTCTGCTGGGCCTCCGCGTACAGCTGGGACATTGTATCTGGGTGTTTTTGGGACTCTTCTTATCTTTTTTTTTGGACAGGGGTAGGGAATTTAGTGTGTAGTCGAAGCAACCAAACCAAAACTTGAACGTGCCAAATGACAAGCTCCTCCTGACCCACTCGAATTGGCCTGGCTTGTTGAGATTACGCATCAGCTTTATGACTAAATAAATGTTTGGCCCACACACTCGACCTACTGTCCACTTCCCAAAACCACTGGCCAAATGAAGAGAGTGTGTCCTGGGTGTGTCTACCGCATCCACATCCCCAAACCCATCCACCTCCACTCGGTTTTGGCCACTGTCGCATGTCTGGCCTAATGAACACCGGGATACCCTTGTGCCCTGCAGAAGTTTGCTGTGTGATTTGCAGCTACCTGCTGCTTAAATAGCCCAGTGATTTAACTTGTTTATTAACTCCCATAAACCAGTCATCTGAGATTTTGCAGGCCTATTTCGAGTTTAACGTGTGGAGCAAGTTTGTGAAATTATTTTAATTAGGTTAAAGTTTAACTGGGGTAACTAAAACCACTCTTGATCTAAGATTAGTTAATTAGGAACATTTACTAGTCACAATAGATTAGTATCTTGGCTTGGTAAAATTGGGTTACAGCTAAAACAGAATTCTATATTAACATAAAATGGTTTTTGAAACATGTTTTTGGTAAGAAATAAGGTTGGTAAAAAATGGTATATATTAAAATAGAAGAATGCCAATAAAATAATAGTAAGTTAAATATTAAATACTGCTTTGTTTTTGAATTAGACTTTGATTTTTGATGTATTTTCTTAGCAAGAATAAATTTTAGCTAATTGTCCTTATGGACAAGAGTGAAAACATTTACAAATAATTTAACTTCGTGTTAAATTTGACAGATAACAAACTAGAACTTTAACATGACATTAAGAAATCGGCTGGTTAAAATTTTTAGAAATACATGTTCTGAAAAACATTCAGTTATATAAGGTTTTAGGATCAATGCCTTCTTTAGGAAACCCTTCAAGCGCATTCTGCGTTCACCTTGGCCAAAAGAAATCCTCTACCTGTCCACTGACGGCTGTGAAAAATGATTTTAACAGGCAACCTGGTCTCGCTGCATTGCTTGACCAGGCCAAAAGCGACCGGCAGTTAAGTGCGATTGGTGTTTATGGCTATTGGCAGTGTCAGTATCCTCGCCCATTCCTTGGCAACAGAACACAGCCATTCCGGAGGCCATGTCGTTGGCCAGGCCAAATCGTAAGCACTCCCGGGTGGGCCGTAAATCAAGCTCACTTACCTCACTGTTGGCGCCGGTGGCCACATTGCTGTTCCCGCCGCTGCTGCTGCTGCCCACGCAGCGAAAATCGACGGAACCACCTGATGAGCGTCGCGGTTTGCCGATGTCCAGTCGCAGGATTCCCGGCTTGGGTCGCCGGGGAGCTGCTGCCGGGGGAGCTCCAGCTCCAGCACCAGATGGCTCCTCGTCGTTCTGCATGTAGAGTGAGTGCCAGGAGTATCAGGAGTACCGTGAACGAAACGCGATTATTCACCGCGCACACGTCCGCCGTGCAGCGCCAACGCGAACTGACTACATCCGTGTCCTTTGGCCAGGACTTTGAAGCAACAATTACGCGCGCAGCCACGGGCACTGGAAATAAAATGTGAATTAAACGCGCCACCCACGCGATAAGTGTCAATGGTTGTGCCATGCGAGTGTGTGGTTCCTGCCTGCCAGTTGGCCAGGAGGATGATGACGTTGGACAGGACACAGGACACAGGACACGGCACATAGGACTCGGGACACAGGACACGCGGCACTTTCAACTGCTTCTCCTGGCTGTCACCGACTCACCGGGTCTCACATGACACAAAGTGAACTTCCTGCTTTCAGGGTCAGCGCGGCCTACCTCTGTGTAATTATGTCTGCCGCGGCCCCAAAAAGTGTCAACAGCTCGGCCCCGAAAACAGGACAAAATATCGCATGTCGCGTTCGCCATGTGAAAAAAAAACAATGCCATTTTTCATTTTCACTTTCACTTTTCATTTTTATATTTTGCGCCTTCCATTAGTGCGATGCGTTGGCTGGTGTCCTTAATTATGAGCGCACAAAAGGTGGCCTCACGTTGCTTTCTAATTGTGATACCTCGCATTAATGGGGTATATGGGTTTGGGGGAAGGAATTTGCATTCCATATAGAATGCATCTAACGAGGCAAATATAAACTAACAAAAGTTCTGACAAACTCTTAAGATATTTTATGGGGTTGGTCTATATTTGTTTGAATTTTGTATCTCTAAATTATATTTAATATCTTAAGAAGTATCAAAAGTAATCTTTAAAAAAATAATTTCAAAATGTTTTGATTTCTTTTTGAAAATCCTGTAAAGTAATGGTCAAAATATAGAATGTCTTACCATGTTCAACTTGCATTGAAACTATTGACTATTGTATTACTTACCCATTTTTTCTAAACCTGTTAAGTAAACCATTATAAAAAAACATTCGAAATTTATCCACATACCCTACTTCTTGAAAACAGCCAAAAAGAGATGCCTTTAAAAACTTGTGGTCCTTCTAAGCAATCATTTTCATTTTCATAATTTTGGTTTTCGGCGGAATAAAAATGCATTTTATTATACAAACACTTCCAATTTTATATATATTTTATACACTGCCAGTTATTGGTTTTGTAATAAAATGGCTATATTTAAGCTGTAACTCCCTAGTCAATTGCTAGCCATAAATATGTTCACCCCAGCAGTGAATTTTCCATGGAAAACTCCCCATAAATACTTGCAAAAGCTGAAAATATGGGTGGCCTCCCTCCCAGTGGGGGGTATTACCAAGTCGAACCCATTCCGGCTGCACACACAGATGGTATCTCCGCCACGACGATCCCACTTGTGCAGAATGCGCTTGTTGGCTGCCAAGCCCACCTGCTGGGCTGTTCCGCCTGCTCCTCCTGCGGCATGTCCTCGCACATCCTCGCATATCCTCGCATATCCGTGCCCATGTCCTGCATGTCCTGCCCCTGCTGATATGCAATGCCTTTCTATTACATGCAAAGCGCGTTAAATTAATTGAACTGTAAAGTGTCAGCGGCAGGAGCCAGGATAAGGACATCTAGCTGCACCAGCATGTTGCATTTAATTTTTATTATTTTCACTTTATTCTATTGCGTTGAACCGGCGAGCAACTAATATTAATTCAACTTGGGTAAAGTAGCTTATAAAAAAGTTTTCCTATTTGTCGCAAATGTTCATGGAATGTGTGTGATGTGACGTGTGCATGTGTGTTTGTGTGGCCTGGTTTTTATGCTTAGTACAAATTTCAGTTTCAGTCTCAAAAATCGTTTGCATAAATTAACTAAAACCATTTTACGTAAATTAATTTGTGTTTTTTTCTCCTTGCATCTATAAATTTCGTACCTAAATGGCAAAAATGCCATAAAATCGTTTTCGGAAAATCGTCTTTTCATTGTGATGCCGGGGCAATAAACGGAAAAGCTACCAAATAATGCAATAAAAACTCGACAGAGTTTTTGATGATGATTGAAAACCATTTGGGCGGCTTTAACTCCACTCAAATTTGAATTGCAAAATTTCGCTTTCACCCCTCGAAACGATTGAAATGATGATTGTCACAGTGTTTTTTGCATGTGTTTCTGCATATTCAACTAACCTTAAGTTATCTGGTTTTACTAACCCTAACTTAACCCATCAAAGTGAAAGTACAATCTGCTGTACAACACCTTCGTTGCTGGCTAACTAGCGTCGAGCAACCCCGTTTTTTATAGCCAGCAAATCCCCATAAATTTCGAGTAAATCGCTTATACGCCACGTATGCCGCAAGTTCGGTTTGCACTTCCCCACGGAAGTTGACTTAAATTTATAGAGTTACCCGAATAAAACGGGAAAAAAGGAAGGAAAAGGGACCGCCAAGCGTAAAAGTAGAATCGATTTATGCATAAAAACGGTGAAGCTGGCAAAAATTTATGAATATCCAACATTTTGATCTTTTTGGTCCTGGAAAAGCCAACTCCTGCGTTTCCTGCTTTTCGTGCTTTTCCTGTATTTCCCGTTTTCCCTGCTTTTTGCCCTTGTTTGCTTAGCTTAATAACCAGTTTTTCTCGTACACGAAAAGTTGGTCAAGTTAAGCAGTAAATGCTCTTTTTCCCTCTGGCTTCTGGCAGTAGGTGTGTGTGTTTTTGGCTGGCCGGGCTACGTGGCGTATGATTAATGTGCGTGGCTTGTACGCCTAATGAATTGGCCATGTAGAACTATCTCACGATAACTGTCCCAAAATACTACCATTCAGTTAATACTTAAATACACATTGAGCTTACTTCTCTGGCCCGCTAATTGACTTATATCCTATGCCTGTTGAATGGCAACTCAATGATGAGCATGTCGTTCGTTCCGCTTCGTTTGGGTTAATTTGGTCCTTTAGTCTATTGGTCGTCCTAGGCCTAGGGTGAAATTTATCAAGCCTACACTTAGGGCTATGCTAAAAACTCACTTAACAGCTAATAAACGCACACATTACGCACAAATGTGCGATGGGCAACCTCAGAACGTTGTCACTTTGCCCAGCCGCATGCCGAGCAATTTACGACGCTTTTTGGCGCTCAGCTTTGTCCAAATGGTGCTGCTGCCCTCCACCAGCAGAAATTCATCGCATAAATCATCCGTCTCCTTGGTCTGGATGACGCCTCCGCCATAGAAATGATCCTCCTGGTACTTCTCCGAGCGTGAGTCGCCGGATACAAAGCCGCTTTCCGGGCGGGACAAGGAGGCGGTGTGCCAGGGAAGCTGCTGGAACCATCGGGCCACTTTCGCCGTCGACGAGAGCTGCGGGAAATGGAAAATCGGTGGAAACCGGGGGCGAATAAGTAAAGTCAGTGTGTAAATTTATGCAAATGAGTTATGTGCGCAAATTGCTGCCCACCAGCGGAATAAAAAAAAATATACAGAAAACCAACTACCGAGTGAAGTGAAAAATGGCGACACTTGTTTTTGCTCCTGCTTTTCCTTCAGCCGACGGCAGCGTTTTTCATTTATCCAGGGGGGCGAAATTCATACACTGACCGTGGTCCCACGGGGCGGATACTTAATGCGCTTAAAAGTATGCTGCATGTTTTTGTCGGAAAAGTCATTAGGGAAATTGCCCAGCCTGGCGTTAACTTTCAATTATTAACGACAATATATATAAGTATATATATAAAAAGGGGGTTCGAAAGGGGACGCCACTTGTTTGTACATAATTATTCGATTTTTATTATTATTTCTTTGTTGTCTGCCTGTATTTGAAATTGCAATTTACATTTACATATAACTCTTGGCCTGGCAAACTAATTAATGCAATTTTCGCAGGAAAAAGCCTATGCGGGTCACGCATAAATTCAATTAAAATACAACAATTTACAAAAATAACAGTATCGAACTTAAACAGTTTAGTTTAGACTAGACTCATTAGCTTAAACATTAGGTGTATGTGTATAGATATATATTTCATTTAGGGGAGAGAAAATACTTTCAAACGATTTATGGCGAACTTGAGTAAGTTACTTCGTTGCTGATATGCTAAGATTATGTTTCACAAATACTTTTACCTAAGTAAACCAAAACTCGAACGAGTTGTGAACTTTGACTTTGGCACACTTTTGAGCTAGAGGCTAATGCTAATGTAGATATATAATATATATTTTACACTTATTTAGAAGTTGAGCTGGGCAAATAATTGGCACATTATAGGCCAGCAATGCTAGGACACCTAAAATGCATAACTAAAGTAGGGGTTTTTCTCCTAAATTAATACTGTTCCACCCACTCATTCACTCGATCCAGACACTCTCTCTTTCCCTTTCTCTCTCTCTCTGGATGGTTTAACCTATGACCTGGTCCTATTTGGTGGTATGCCTGGCCCAGGTGGTCCTCTGCACCTGGCTCATCATCTGGCTGCGATTGGGCACCTTCTCGCTGGTGCTCCTGGTAATGAAACTGGGCGTGGCCGATAGCTTCCTCTGGTGACCTGCCTCATCGGTGACCCTGAGCAAAACCGTATTGAATCTTGTCTCCCGACTGCTGTTACCATTGCTGTTGCCATTATTGTTCTGATTCTGATTGGGATGCTGGTTGCCATTGCTGCTCCCGGCACTTATGTTGTTATTACTGCTCCTCAACCGCGGTGAGGAGGGCGAGTCCAGGGTGGAGGAACTGCGACTGGTATCCCTAGTGCTAGTGGATCCCCCACAGGCCAGACCAGCCAGATTGCCATTCGACACAGCCGCCTTGAGTTGCTCCTCCAGATTATTCAGATTCTGCTCGATGCTCAGGCGGATATCCTCGTTTAGAGAAGAACTCCCGGCAAAGGAGTTCCTATTCATGGAGCCCAGTGGCGAGGGCGTCAGCGTTCCCGTGGCCGCCGGTGAGGTGAGGAAATTGAATCCTCCAGCTCCTGCGCCGGCATTATTATTCGGCGTGGCCGGTGTGCAGGACAAGGGATTCACATAGAAGAAGGAGTTGTGCCCGGAGGCCGTGGGCGTCTGCTGACTCTGGCCAGGATTGGCATTCAGATTCAGCGACTGCAGGCGATTCAGCAGCTCCTGATTCACCTGGAACAGATCCTTGGACAGGGCATCCTGCTGCTGCTGCTGCTGTTGCTGTTGCAACTGATTGCTGATACTCTGGAGGGCACTCATCGAGGGATATGGACTACTGCCCCCAGCCATGGGAGGAGGCGTGGCCGGATTGGGCACCGCCGACTGCGATTGTTGTTGCTGCTGCTGCTGTTGCAAATTCTGGAGGTGCTGGCTCTGCTGATTGAGACCACTTAGCTGATGACTCAGCGAGGTCAGCTGCTGATTGATGCTGCCCAAATTGCTGATCTGCTGATTGATCGTGGCCAGATTGTTGTTGTTGCTGGTGGCCTGCAGCAGCATTTGCAGCTGCGATTGCTAATCGAAGGGGGGTGAAAGGTCACAGGGCATTAAGTTCCACAGTTCTCTCAATCACGAAGAACAACAACGAGAACACACTATACTATAAACACTCGTGCAAAAACAAATGGCAGCCAAGAAAAACAGAAAACAAAGAACATGCAACAAGAACGCACAGCTAGGATAGGCTCAAATTTACGATCGCATAACTCAAAAGCTTATAGAGCATATAGTAGGTAGTATATAGGGTACAATCCTCACCTGTGGCGCCATTCCAATATTGGCCGACGTGAGACCCGCACTCTGCTGTTCGTTGTAGGCCCCCAGAGAGGCCAGGTGCTCCAGAAGCTCCCGGTTCTGCTGCAGCAGTTGTTGGGTGCGCGCCTGCAAAAGGATATTATCCAAAAGTTAGCATGATATCATGATGATATCCTAGGGGCATGAGGTTCTTACCTGCGCCTCGATGCGCGCATTGGTCTCCGAGATGAGCTGCTCCCGCACCAGCATCAGTTGGCCCAGAGCCTGGCGCGTTTGCAGAGCCTGTGCCTCCAGCTGATCCTTCAGCTGGGTGATCTCAGAACGCGGAGAGGAGGGTGAGCCTGGTGACTTGTCGTCCACATCGCACTGCAAGGAGATAGAGATGATAAAAAATAACATATTAATAATATTATATTTATGTAGTTAAGGGATGGTTTATAATTATAATAACCAATTTAAATTTTTGAAAAAAATTCCTTCATTTAGTCAATTTACTTTATAAGATTAGAATATATTAAGGATTGGATAATGTTTCTAATTGATACAAAAATATTAAAATAAAGAAATTCAAGTTTATAATATTCTGGTTAAACATTTTGTAAGTATTAATGTATATTTATACAGAAAGACGTCTTAAAATTTCGGACTAAGAATATCAATGGATTATAGAACATTTTTTAATGACTTCTTATTTTAGACAACACATATCACTATGTAAATTTCAATTGGCTTAAAATAAGGTCATACACTCAATTAAATGGTGCATGTTGTCTAGAAGAACAAAGACGGTTCAAAGAAAATGTGTTTTTGAAAATATAATAAACATTTTTATACATTTTAAGAAAACGTCTGGCGATTCTAGACAGTTTTTGCTAAATGTATTTATGAGCCTAAACTTTCGATTAATAGTCGCATTTCACTGTCGCCTTCTTGAAGCTATAACAAATTTTAACTAGTCTCCGACATACAGAATGTCATAAGAATATTTTATTGTAAAATGGCTATCAAAATGACATATTTAACAATCAAAACTGGGCCATTTTGCCCCTTTACAACCGAAATGTCTTTCTTTTATTCACCGTCTAGCCTTGACAGTTCTCAGGGGCAACTGGAAATGTTATTGAATCCGAATATTATTGTTTTCCCAAAATGTTTACCCTCTTCTGACCGCGTTGTTAGGTAAACAAATGGGAAATATTATTTTATACATTATGACCTAAACAGAAACGCCAGCGATGGGGCCACATTGTATTTGATTTCATTTTCGGAGATTTCGGCTAATTAAAATTCACCAGCGCCGGCATTTTAATTGCCCAGCGAGGATATGGCTGTGATTTCGGTTATTATTGGCGGGCCATTGGGCAGAATGATTATGATTATGATGGACATAAGTTACTCATAGGTACTATACTTACCAGCAGGCTGTTCGATTTGCGTAGACTCGAATGCGATGGCATTAGCTCCAAGTGGCTGGGGCGCTGCGGCTGCGTGTGGTTCAGGTTCAGATCGGGTGTTATGGCCAAGTGCTCTATAAATAAGTAGAGGAGAATCGTATTAGTGAATTAGCTAGCTGACTGGTTGCTAGCTGGCTGGTTTGGTAATCAAGTGGGCTGTGTAAGGCCGCCTGGGCCGACCGCCCCCCAATTTGTCAAGGTCGCGGGACACCCACGCGGCCCACCTGGCGGCCACTTTCGCGCTTAATTTCCCATTAATTACACTGTCTAGAGTTCAATATTTGTTTTGATTATGCTCGCCTGTCCAATTAATATGGCTACAATTATCTAGAACCTCACACGATCTCTATGAAGATCATCTTATAGGATAATGAAGATTGGGGGGTGCAAAGTTCGGCTAAAATTTCATTTTGATTTGTTGGCAAATATTTAAGAAATTTCTTCTCGGAACCCAGGGATCGTGCGCCTTAAATGTGTATTTATTTTCCATATAGCCAGTCAGTTTCGTTTCGCACCTGAGGCACGTGTTAATTGCCAATGAAGTGCTTCGAGTGCTGTAAAAATCCTTCACAGCATGTAAATTAATTTGCCGTTTCATATGGTTTTGGCAAATAATTGTTGGAATTCGCCTGCCTATTTTTTGCAAAAAATATTGAAGAAGGATTCCTCCCCCATCTGAAACACATGTTCTTTTTGGCTAAATTTAGAACCACCATCTTTTGTATAATTTTTACAACCCAAATGACCCATTTCGCGGAACACATCATACTCAATTAGAGAGCTCGGCAAAAACAGCTGCAAAGCTATTCTGTGACATGGAACAACAATTAGTAATCCAAATGTTCAGTTTTTGCCTATAGCCAATCTATATTATATTGGCTTTTGGATATATATTTTTGCAATTCGGCTAGCCAAAGACAATAAACGAGGTGTTGATTAACGTAATGGCGTGCTTATTACATATAAGACTGGTCGAAAATAATAAACAATTTTGTTATTATGGTATATACAGTTTTGGGGTCTAATTCTAATTTGTTTAGCACTATTTAGTAAAATAAACAAAACTTTGCAATGTTTAATTATTCAACCAAATAAAGCTACGAATATAGGGGTAGACTACATAACTGTAACTATAAGTTAAAATAGTTTCCTAAATAAGTTTTAAAAAGTTAGACAATTTAACAAAATTTAGCTTAGTATGCACATAAGGATTTACTTTTCTGAAGTTCAACTAGAGAAGGGAAAAACTTAGTTTTCCTAAGGGGTTTTCCCAACTCACTGTTAATGATAGCATACTTTTTGGCGTCTAGGCTAGGATATTCAACTTTGAACCTCCCTAAACTGATTTTCCCAATCTCAGAGGCTTTTCGCCCAGACACAGACATAATGCTCATAATTCATTATTTCAGTGCCGAATCTCTGGTTTGACTACTTAAAAGTCAGACAGCGCAGGCGGGAAATTACTATATAGCGAAAATTACAAGACCACAGACTCTGTGGATGAGATATTGGGATAAATAAATTATTTTTGGCACACTTCAGGGCACTCGCCCACACATTTTTTGCCAATCCACCACGTGTGTTTTTCATGGATTCGAGTGTCGCCTGGTAACAAATGCGGTTTCGGTTTTCCACGAATGATGCCATGGTTATGATGAAATTTATCAGCAAGTAATCCATCTTCGATAAGTAGCTACCTAGCGCACCACCACCTTTCCACTTGCTCGTTATTTATATTTATATTCTCAGAATTTCAGACGAATGATGTCGCTGGTTGGCTTTAGACAAAAGATTGCAAAAAGAATTGCTTTTCTTGTGAGTTTTCTTCAATATTTTCATTTTTTCCATCTTATTTTTGGCAGCAGCAACGCGTTGATGACGTCAAACTACGCCTTGCCTGTGTAAAAGTGAGTGGGGGGGGGGGGGGGCTTTGGCAAGATGGAAAACCGCACGAAGATTATTGAAAATTGAAGCAATATGTGGAAATTGCTTAACAGCGACGAAGTGTATGTCGAAAGCTTTTGCCTCTGTTCTCGGTACTTTTATTTTTATTTTTATTTTATTTTTTAATATTTTCTTCTCATCTGCGCAGTCATCTTTTGTATTGTATTTTTTCTCTAGCAGGGTGTATTGCAAATACTGTGTGTATACAGAAATATATGTACAGCACGTCTGCAGTTGCATTTTTGTATATTTACGGAAATAAGGAGAAGAAAACAGTGTAAAATGTTAAACCAAATAAACAAGTTGCTTTAATACACTATCCTTTTCCAAATAATCAACTATAACCCAAAAAACATCTTTCGATTTCCAATGAAAATTCAACTTTTTTTTGCTGCCCATGTTAAAGATCTAACCATTAAAATCACTCCCTTTCCTGGACAAACCAACCCCGGGAGAATAAAATGCAATTTAAATGCAAATTCAAATGCCGCGCCCGCCGCATCGAACTGAATGCGAAATTAAAGAGCAGCCATTTGCATGGGAATGCAGAAATGAATAGAAAACTAATGCGACCAGTGGCCAGAGGATCCAGAGCATCCAGATTCTCGGTGGAATCAACCAGGAAACAGCTGACGGCGACGACAGCCAGAGATTTTCATTTATTTATTGGCTAGGCAACGAACCAACGTGGATTTTCTTCCCATTTTTTCCCATTTCCCGAGCAGTGTGAATTATTTTCCCCCTGCCTTCAAGACGACACTCACCTTTCTTGGGCGTCTCGTTGTCGCCGCCAACGCGTTCTCCATCTTCACTCAGCTGCTGCTCGCTGATTTGCTCCACATCCAGGAGCTCCGAGGAGGATATGTCGGAGCGTTCGTCATTGGGTTCCAGGGAATTCTTATGAAGATTAAATTTGTGGCACACTTCAAAGGCTTGGCCCACGGTGCGAACGATGCGCATGGCCTGGGACTGCAAGAGGCGTAGAAGAGAAAGGGGATTAAGTTAATTGCATTATGGTGGCATCACACAGCAGCTCAAACCCCACGGCCCCTTAAGACATAGCCCCCCCTCCCATTGACAGCAATTAAGCCGCCACTGAAAAGTGCACATTGCATATTACGCATACGCCCCGTTTGCCGCATATGAACCCACCTCCGGATCGCTCGTCGCACAGCCGCAGGAAATTGCATCCTTTGTGCGATTATTGCATAAATTATCACAGTCCTCTCCCGTTATTAAGCCCCCTTTGGCGCGCTCCAGGGGGGAACTGCGACGCCTCTGCCTCGCCTGTCGCTGTTCGTTGAGGATGAGTGGTAGTATTTGGTCTCCGGCTATGATGGGCTCCCTGAAGGATAGCTTCTTGCGCGGCTTATCGGTTTTGGGTCGTTCCAGCATAATGCTCCCGTTGGCACTGCCCCCTCCACCGCCGCCACTGCTCAAACTGCTACTGCTCTGCTGATCGCTGAGACTTTTGCGCCTTTGCAGCTGATGACGCTGCTCGGATCGCTGGTGCAGCAGATGAGCTCTTCGCAGGGCCTCCGGTGAAGCCTCATAATGATCGCTGGGCAGACGTTTCAGCTTCAGTCGGGCCTTCAGGACATCTCCATTGGTTTGGCCTGCAGAGGATGAGGAATTGCTAACCTTATGACTGGACTTGGCCACAGGTTGCTCTTTCTTTATGATATACACCGTATTCTCATCGTCATTGAACAGTATGTGCTTGGGCTTGTGGTCTATATAGGTGTCGTCTATAAAGCGAGGTGGCTGACCTGTTGAAGTTCCTCCCGTCAAAGGAACCATCTCCCTTTCCACACAACCTATAAGTTCCCTTATATCCAAGCTTTTATTCCTGGACAAATGCTTCTGTTTCTTTTTGTGCGAGGGAACTGGGGACTGTGGTGGCTTGTTCTTGAGCTCCAGATGTTTATCCCCCACTAGGATATCCCGGATGAGGCCACCACCGCTGCGAAAGATGTTCTTGTGATAGTGCACCTCCGAGGGCTTTTCCACCGAAGATACAGAGGCCTGCTGATCCACCGTCAGATTGGGATTTTGGTTCTGATTCTGGACCTTGGCCATGTTGACCTTGCTGCGACTTCGTGACCAGGGGAGAAAGTCAAAGGCCTTGGTGATGGGACTTCTGGGAACGTGGGCGGAGCTATCCGCGAGATGCGGATGGCGCTGCTTGTGCGGAGCAGCCATGATGTTGGACTTCTCGTGCTTCATGGCCACCAGCAGCCTGGCCAGAGTTCGCTGATCTGCGAAAAGTATCCGCAATCGGCTATCCGCAAGGTCGTTAGCTTGCCAATTTGTCACTGCTCACTTCAAAGTTCAATGCTGTTCAATGCTGATTTTCGCCGTTTTCAATCGGCCAATTAGTTGGCTATTAATTTCATAATTGCTTAGGGTTCTCTGGGTGGCTCCCTTGATCCAGGTTGTTCACACACAGCCGCCGATGCGCCATTTTTCACACCTGCCAGGTGCTATATATATTGTTTATGTTTCTCTTTCGCCCCTGGGCTGTTGTTTTTGCTGCTGCTGCTGCTGTTTCTTTTGCGCGTTTGTATTATTTTTGTATCGAATTATTTGCAACTCTTCATGTTGCCTACATATCGGGAAAAATATATATATTTTTCGGTTATTTTCCGAATATTTCTGCCGCCTGCATGCCTGATTTTTCTCGTTTTCACCCCTCAGCAAAAAAAGAAATGAAAACTGTCAATCTGATGTGGGTATTGTTATGGTTTTCGCCATCAGGCGAAATTTATGTCAATCAGCAAGCGAATGATTTGCATAGGTTTGCTGTCAGTGAATCAGCGCGCTAGTTGCATTTTCAAAAGCATCGAAATTTCGAAGGCCTTGCGTTGTAAATATTTTTAAAGGAATATTGAACTCTGGTTTCATTTTATCGACCTATTTTTTCTTTAGCGTTTACATGCCAATTAACTCTGTCAATTTATGGATATGTATGTTTACACAATTTAGTAATAATTGGGTTACAACATTTTATTTGTTATTTTCAGATATACAAATATCAAAAAAATATTATTATGCCTAATTTAGATTTGTTTCTGAATTTTGTGTATTTTTGTTAGGTCATCGAGTTCTAAACTAATTTGTGACCTAGATACATAAAAATAATTTAAAGGTAAATAAATTCTGAATGTTTATAAACTAAATGAATATTTTCTACCAAATTAATGGCGCTTCTATAATATTAAAATATTTTTTTTTTAAGTTTTCAGGTCCAGTTGGTTTTTGTTGAAAACTAAAATGAGCTAAGATAAAAATCTCTAAAAAAAAACTCATATTTTAAACTAATCTCCGATCCTTAATTTTCTTAGGATATAAAAGTCAATGGACTAAATTCAATAAGAAAACTATTGAGTCACACAGTAAAATTTTTAAATGATAACCTATCCTATATATTCCCAGCATACAACATTCAAAAAATACGTTGTATATGAAAAAACATCCCCAAAATTGTTGAACACTTTCCCATTACTAATTAGGGTTTAGTTGGCGAATAACTTTGTGGTTTCGCCTTTCAGGCGATTCTCGGGCAGAACTTGGCCAACACTCAAGCAGTTTGAAGGGCTACTTCAGTGGCGGCAGGTTGAGCACTCGCCCTCACGACATTAACAACACATCAATTTGAATTATTTTGACAAGCAATGACAGCACTTGTTGCGCAAGTTGGCAAACAAAATGGAGAGTGAGGGAAAGCATGCTTGAAGCATGCTTACAACATTTTCACTATTTGGGTATTTTGGGATAGGCAACTAACTCAAGCACTTTAAACTTTTTTAAGGTGCTTTTACAAGTGGCGTCGAATCGTCTCAGCCAGTTCAACGTTCCAGCATTGCGTATACGCCACGTGCGCCCAGAAAATCCATCTGAACAAAGGTGCCAACAGATTGTCTATCTCAACTGAGTCTCCACAAATATTTATATCTCCCTCGTGTGGCTTATGCAATTCCACATAAATCAAATTGAAAACTATAAAAAGTAAACGGATAAAGTGTGTGGCAATTTACATTCGTTACAGCAAAGCCGAAATGAAAACTTAAATAAATAAGTAAGAGAGGAAAAAGAAAATTGCGTGGCATTTCGTGGAAAACTACTTGAAAATTTATAGCGTTAAGAATGACTTTGTTAGCTTTGTTTTATGTATTTATTTGAATTTTAATTTCCATTCTACTCTGGAAGCCCAGCAATCAAATCTGGTTGTTTGTTTGCTGTTGTTGTTTTCCCCGCGCTGCCTGTCATAAGGGAAAATTTGTACAGGAAAATCTTTTGTGTCTGGTTGGCTCTGCCTTTTTAGCACCGTTTTTAATGGCACTGGCACTGGCATTGCCCCTGGCAGCTGGCCGGTGTTTACAGTGGCCATAAGTCGTCGGTGGTCAGGATGCCACACTCGCAGCATTCGCAGTTTACCGCAGAAGCCACTTCCGCAGCTGCAGTTGGCCACAGATGACCGCAGTTGGCCGCTGGGCAAACTGCAGATCGTAAATTCTGCACATTGTCACGTGGTCAGAAGGGGTGTTGTAACGCCGCCCCTGCTAATGAAGTTCTCATTAGTCATGCAGGCTGCGGCACTTGAAAATTCAATTTAAATTTTTCCTTTAAAACACACAAGCCCACAACCAAAGAATATAAACTTAAGTATTTAAAATCCCCTCTCGAATAAAACGAAACACCTGCCCGCACTACCTGCCTCTTATTCCTCTGCATTGTTCGATTTTAGAAATACTTTAAAGTAGGCTATAAAAATAATGGATCTATTTTGGCTTGAAGTGCAGAAAATAAAATTAAATTAAATGAAAACACAAAACAAAGCGAAACGAAACGAAACGAATGTCGAAGAGGGCAGGCAGCCATTTTTGGCAATATAAAAATGGCCAAGAGTCGGGGGTTTTTGCGGATTTTCCCGAGGCCTTGGCTTTGTCAGGTAAATGAAAAATATTTTCCCATTTCCTATGAACTATTCGAAAAACTTGAGAACAAAGTTATGTCCATGAAAATATTTGTACCAATATCTTATGTTTATTTGGCATTTTTCAGCTGTCAAATTAGCTTTAGCTTGTGTTTATCGCATATATATTGATATACAGATATAAATAAATAAGCTAAGCAGAAACGAGTCGTAAATATTTCAGCCATAATATCACGTGTGCGTTCGAGCTATTGACCATAATTCTATTTATTTATGCCAGCCTCCTTCTTATTTCCGAGTAGCTCATTAACAATTAATATGCATAAACAGTAGATCTTGTGAGGCAAGTGTACGTCACCGAACTAAGTTTGGCCAAAAAATGAATGAATTTACTGTGCCCCAAGGCAGCACACAGAAAATTGTTCTTTCATAAAAAAATGGGGAAGTGAAAACACTCTAATTTCTGGTTTACTAAAGTCGTATTACTGTCCGCACTTTGCAAACTTTTTTCTGCTAATTAATTTTCCAGTCAATTTTCTGCTCTCGTGGCTCATTATTCAATCCTTAGCATTGTTTAAAAGTATTATGGTTGTTCTTTTTTTACTGGCCACAAGCATTTAATGGCGTCAGCAGTCCAAATGACTAGAAAAACCCAATGACAAAACACTTTTGTGATTCGATTTTTATCTTTCACATGTTGAAACATTTAATTTAATTTCTCGCCTCGCTGGGAATGATGATCTATGGATGCGTTGGCATATTTTCTGAATTTATTTATTTTGCTGATAGCAGATGAACTTGAGTTTTATTTATCGTAGGCGTTGTCTTGCAGGTGGCAGAAATATCAAACTATATTATATTATTCTGTTTGGTTTCTTTTTTAGTATGATTGCTTTGAAAACACTTCACTTCACGGACACTCACGCACTAGTTGCATAATTCTTGGTTATTGGTTCTGTATCTTTGTATCTTTTAATCGCCACACGTCCGCAAAGGCGCGCCGTCTAGAACGCACTGGACAAAGATCGAAATGAGAGAGGAGATGGCCAATCGATCTGCTAGCCGGCTAAATGGAAAAGCTTTTCCCAGAGCTTTTCCGCTCAGCTGTTGGCACGATCTTTGGCTACATGCTGCATTTGTTTTGGTTCGGCTTGCCTTTTCCAACGAAGATATATACTTCAAATATAGATAGAAACCCCCTGAAGCCGGTTCAACTTGGCGTATGTGTGATTGCAGCTACTGTTGTGACGTCATTGCTTTGTGTTTCGCGGAAGTAAACAAAGTGGGCTCTTTGCTTATTTCGGCCATTTTCCATTTGGGTTTCTTTGGCTTTATTTGGCTCTCCTGCTTAGCCATTAATCATATATCTTTCATCGCTTTGTCTAGCCATGTTTGTGTTCATTTCGCTTCCAAATTGCGTTGCATTCGGTTGCTTCTTGTATAACTTGTATAACTAATGCCCGAATGATACTTGTATATCCCATGCCTCAGGTGCAACGCAGCTTTCCGCTGACGCACACGGCGTATACGCGATTTTCAACACGTGCAGATGCCGTGTGGCAGATAAAGCCCCCATATAAGTTCCACACCCCTTAACCTTAATTCCTTATGTCAACTGTCAGACATTTCGACAGGCCACAAACATTGACTTCTACCTTCTGATGTATTGGAATTTTTTCACCCGAAATCCACTTGTTAATTAGATGGGAGAAAATAGAAATGCCAACTTGACATTGTCTGCCGACTGAAGTTGAAGGCCAGACAATTATAACAAGAAATGGTATTTTTAAAAAATAAATAAATTTGAAACATTTGTGACTTGGAATTAATCAAAAACCGCATTGGGTACGAAATCAAAGGCGAATGCATTTCCCCCCGGGCGACCAAACGACAAAGTAAAATCTGATTTATTTATTTGGCAAATATTAATGGGGGGCGATGTCGCCTATGAGAACGGGAGAATCTGGTCCATATAACACGGAAATGGATGTGCCGGCTGGCCGAACGACTGATGGACAGTTGCGCCTTACTTTTCGCCGGGTTTGTTTAGATCCATCCCCAGGCGCTGTAATGGCCAATGAAAAATTGGTCTAGACTCAAACGAATTGACAATGAAAAATAACCATGGAATCATTGTTTCAATAAACAGAAACCAAATGGGAAACATTATAAAGAAAGTGACTCAGTTAAGGATTAAAAATAAAAGTTCTTAAAATAGGATTTCCATTTGGTCGATAAGTCGCTGTACCTAGAAAAACCTCTTTTCGCGTTTATATTATCTAACTCAAACTGCATTTTAGTCCCCCTTCTAAACATATTACCCATTTTAACAAAAACTACCAGATCAAATAGATCGCAATATTGGCCCATCTAATAAACTGCACTTCGCTCTTTAAGACGTGCATATTTTTTTGTTTATTTGCTAGTTGTTTTCGTTTCGGTTTTCCATTGCTGGATACTCGCCAAAATTATGCATACGAGTAGACATTTTGCACAAGACCAGAGTTTATATTTTTAGACATGGAATGGGTAATGTCAAGTAAGTCACATGTAGCCTGCATTATGCGAATTGCGGTCATAAACATTTCATTGGCCGAAGTAAAAGGCAAACATTCGAATCTGGGAATCTCACCTTTTTGTGACTTTTGAAGACGGAACACTTGAACGTATCCGTGCTGGCATCGCGCGCTATATAGCTGAATATCTTGAGATCGCTGCTGTCGTGGGACACGTAGAATATTCTATAGATGGGATGATTGAGCAACTCGATTTCCTCGGGGTCATTGGTCCAGTTCTTTTTCTAAACAAAAATTAGGTAAATTAGTTTTGAGATAAATAGATATCATAGGGTATAGACCGGCATTGACTTACTTTTCGACGACGCTTTTTGAGCACAACGCGTACGCCATTTACCGATATGTGGATGGTGACCTTTCGCTTCTTCAGATTCTGCACTTTGCACTCGTACTGCGGGGTGGAAAAAATATCTACATAAGTTTTTTTGGTTTTTCAGAAGCTATACGAAAGGAAGCCAAAGTGGGGCCACGTAATTCCAGAATTTTCAATTAACCTCTGACTGCCAGTGACGGCTGGCCTAATGGCAAAGACATGACAATAACAAGCGCCAAATTTACCACGTCTCGCCTGACAGACATGGCTAATACACAACAACCACCCACGAGAACTCACTCACACATGCACGCCCAAGTCGACAGGGCTAACACGGTTTAAGCCAGGGCACGCACGACTTCTCAGAACGGAACGCAAAGAAGGAAAAGGGAATGAATAAACAAGCCTCGTTACTTTTTATGCTACTAGAATGGTTTTTCTTTTTAGCCAGCTTCCCTTTTGCCTTTTGGCCATATAAGGGAATATTTAAGGGAACTGTAATCAAAGTATGTGACGCTGGCAAACAGAGAGTGTTGCCTGCTTTTTTTGGGGAGGGTGGAAGATTGTGAAATTTAAAACCGCCTTTAGCCCGGATAAAAGTTTCTTTAATTGGCAGCCGGAGATGCGAGTATCCTACGCTCTGGGATGTGGGCGAGGAAATCTGTTAACTTTTCAACTCGCCGGGATTCAAAATTCATTTGCGTACCACGCGGCGTATGCTTAATACTCACCCTTATGCGCCGCATGGCCTGGACGATCTCGGCTCGAGTGTTGGGTCGTGGCACCTCCTCCCAGCCAACAAACTGCAATGGAAAAATTGTAAATTATTGCTTTTTGTTGATTGCTCAAATAAAAAATTTAACAAATTAGTTGCAGCACAACAATTTGCCTCTGCGAATTCCCCAAAATATATGCCAAAAATGTGCTGCAATAAAATACATTTAAATATATTTAGTAACCACAAGCTTTTCTGTTGCCAACAGCCTCGACACAGTAAGCTGCATTCCTATTTTTAGTTGGTTTACATTTTCTAAATTTAAGCGACGATCTGCCCTTTGCCAAGTTCTTCAAGGGGATCGCAGCAGTATCCATCAATTACCAAACTAAAACCTATTTTTCATCTCGTCGTCAGTCAACAAAATATAAACTTTTGGTGGATTTTTGCAAAATTTATGGCCAAAAATGAATGCAAACTGCGGCGACAGCAATTGTTTGAAAATAAAAATTGCATTTTTAATGCACAATATTTGTCTTGTTTGCATTTTTGTTGATTTTTTTTTTCTTTTTGTATTTGTTTTACGGCGAATGCAGCTCAAGGATAACAAATGCGTAGATATGGACCTAGATTTGCGAATTTTATTACAGTGACAACAACAATTTAAATGCAAAATGACATGACAACAACCACAATATGGCGAGAGTGAAAGAGACGCTGATGATGCCATCGTCGACTGACAGTGACAAAATGTGCATGAGATAGCTGCCACGCCCCCAACGCCCCCCAAATTTCACCATTTATATATGAAAGTGTACGTGTGTATACACACTTTACACTTTTCCGAACAATAAAAGTAAATATACAGTGAAGAGGGTTCATTTTTCGCCTCACCGCATATCCTTTTGGAGGAAGAGAATTTTAAAATATTTCTCCAGAAAGGGGGGTATCTATTTATAACATCCATATGTCTATTCTCTATGATCTATGTCAAGTTATGGTAAACAAATCGAAAGTTTTTGCGCCACATTGCGTTGAATTTCTGCGAATGCTAATATATGGAATGATTAATGTTCTGCCTTGTGGATATAAGGGATATGGCGTGTGCCGAATCCATATTTTTCTCAGATCAAGCTAAAAATAGCTCAAGTCAAATGTTGAATTTCAGCAGAAAATAGATTTCGCATATTAATTCAGAAAATTATTAGAAAAAAGAAGAAAATTGAAGGTAATGCCAGTGGTAATTGATTTCCACCTACAGCCTGATGAAGGCCATGTGCCCTAAATGTCTGGAAAGCAGTTCATTAGTCAGAATGGCAAATGTTTACTTCTCCAGAATATACTTATAATCATATAGGATTATGCAGATGTTAAAAAATATTTCTGAAGTATATATAACCAACGTTGTCAGGACATATAAATAGATATTTGCATGCCATTACCATTGAAAAGGTTATGAAACGGGGCTTTAAATTTCCCACAAAAGCCATCCGGCACTAAGCCCATAAAAAGCCATTTACAAAGCGGAAAGCAGGCGAAGATGTAGCAGAAAATAAGGAAAAAAGAAAGTGGGCAGTGAGTTGGAGAAAGGGAAAAATGGAAAAAGGAAAAAGGCTGAAGCGAAACTCTCACTCTCGCCCACAAATATTTGGATTGCATTAAATTCATGCAAACACAAAGGATAAAGGATACACAGGGCGCTTATCCTCTCCAGCTAGACAAATCCCCGCGCAAATAAAATAAAGAAAACCAACTTCAGACTCCCTCCGAGCTGGCAAAACGTTTCGCTCACTCTTTTTTCTCGCTTTCCCCATTTCCCTATTTCCCATTTCCCTTTCCGATTTCCCCGCCCAATGCCATTCGCATCCTTTTTTCACTTAAAAACCATTTCAGTGCGACGGCTCTATGCAAATAGCCGCTGGACTTTGTTCGTCGCTTCGTTTAAATTCATTTACTTTGATTAAAACCCTGGCCAAGAGTGGACCCTCACCCTTTCGCCCGCTGGAGTAGTAAACTTTTACATTTCTTTCCAGGGGGCTAGACGCCTTTACGCAATAAAGTATTAACTCGGCTTAATACTTTATTTTAAGCCATAACTTTACCTGTGTACACAACAAAATATGTGGATTCGTTTCAAAGGTTTGCACTGCTAAAATTCCTTTATTAAATATTTAAGTTTTTAAAATGGAAAACATGTCCTAGTATTGACACAATTTTCAATATATATTTACTTTTATTTTTCTTGTATTAACTTAGAAAAATTAAACATCGTAAAATTTGTCGATATTATATAAGGGGTCACCACATTTTTGTTTGCAAAAATTTTATTATTTTATGGCAAAAATCTGTGATTGTATCTGTGTTTTTTCGTCGTAATTCTGTCAAACAGAAAGCCACATACAAAAAAAAGACTGTTTTGTTAAACTAACAATCTAAGGTAACGAGCCAAATCATTTTTGGGTTGATAAAAAAAAATTTAAAATTTCGTCCAATTTTTGAATTTTTGATAAGGGGTAACATCACAATTTTTAGCAAAAATTAAATTTTTCAGATTTGAACGCTAATCAATAGGGAATTTTTTCACGAGTTCAACGATGTATAACAATCCATACTAAAATGATTTAATGTCATGTTTTGGACAAAATACTGGTTTTTTTAAGTAAAATTGGGATGCAGGACTTATGCCAAAAAAGTCCATTTTTATCTTCGTTTTTTGTCGTAACTCTGTTAAATAGAGGGTCACATCCATTAAAATTACTGTTTTGTTCAGCTAATAACCTAAGCTAACGATCGGCATCTTTTTTGGAATGATTTGGTTAAAAAAAAATTCTTCCAATTTTTGAATTTTTGATAAGGGGTAACATCACAATTTTAACAAAAATGGGTCAAAAATTAAATTTTTCAGGTTTGAACGCTAATCGATAGGGAATTTTTTTACGAGTTCAACGATGTATAACAATCCATATTAAAATGACTTAATGTCATGTTTTGGACAAAATACTGCTTTTATTTTGAGTAAAATTAGGATGTAGGACTTTTGGCAAAAAAAGCCATTTTTAGCTGCGTTTTTTTGTCGTAACTCTGTTAAATAGACAGCCACATCCATAAAAATTACTGTTTTGTTCAGTTAACCACCTAAGCTAACGAGCAACATCTTTTTTGGATGGATTTAAGAAAAATAAAATTTCGTCCATTTTTTGATTTTTTCATCACAATTTTTTGCAAGAATGGGTCCAAAAAAAAATTTTTTTTGATTTAAACGACAATTAATTGCAAATTTTATTACGAGTTCAACGATGTATGACACGCCATATTAGGATGGCTTAATGTCATGTTATGGACAAAATACAGGTTTTATTTTGAGTAAAATTGGGATGTAAGACTTATGCCAAAAAAAGCCATTATTATCTGCGTTTTTTTGTCGTAACTCTGTTAAATAGACAGCCACATCCATAAAAATTACTGTTTTGTTCAGCTAATAACCTAAGCTAACGAGCAACATCTTTTTTGGATGGATTTAAAAAAAATAAAATTTGGTCCAATTTTGATTTTTTGATAAGGGGTAACAACACAATTTTTTGCAATAATGGGTCAAAAAAAATTTTTTTTTGATTTAAACGACAATTAATTGGAAATTTTATTACGAGTTCAACGATGTATGACACGCCATATTAGGATGACTAAATGTCATGTTTTGGACAAAATACTGGTTTTATTTTGAGTAAAATAGGGACGTAGGACCTATGCCAAAAAAGGTATTTATTATCTGCGTTTTTTTGTCGTAACTCTGTTAAATAGGGGGCCACATCCATAAAAGTTACTGTTTTGTTCAGCTAATAACCTAAGCTAACGAACATCATCTTTTTTGTAATGATTTCATTTTAAAAAAAATTTTCCAATTTTTGAATTTTTGATAATCATAATTTTTTGCAAAAATGGGTCAAAAATTAAGTCTTTTAGTTTTAAACGCTAATCGATGGAAAATTGTATTACGAGTTCAACGATATATCACATTCCATTTTTGGACAACTGGTTGCAATGTTACCAACAAAATAGTGTTTATTTTTTGACCAAAAATTGGGATGTGGGACTTTATAAAAAATCAGAAATTTGTAACTGTGTATTTTCGTCATATTTATTTTAAAAAAGAAAATGATTCATTTTGAAAAACAAGTAATATTTACTTTAGGTTTAAACACAGTTTTTTTTATTTTAAAGTAGTTTGTAATTACAATCCCTCCATATTGTAATTTATGTTTTTTCAATATTTTCTGTTTTTTTAAATATTTATTTACATTAGCAAAAAACGGTGTTGCTTTCTTTATAAACAGCCAATTGTTCAAGACATTTTATTTCTCTGTGTAAACATTTTAGGGCTTTAAAGGTTTATGACCCGCATTACGTTTATTGGTGAATGTTGGAGATTCTGTTTTGGTTATGAGTTTTATAAACCAACTCACGTTTTTTTTTCCACTTTCTTGGGCGTTTTTCCCTTCGATTAATTGCGAGCATTGAAATTGATTTTCCCCACTTCGAGTTCTATTTTCATGCATTTGTTTATTTATACTTGATCGGACGGGCGAAAGACAAGTGAAAAGTCAAAAGCTGGCCACGTTTGTTCGACTTCACCGAGTGACGTCAGTGGAAGCCCAAGGTGTTCCTGGTAATATATAACCAGCCATTTGTCCCGGCAGAAAAGCAATTAAGCTT